AAAGTATCCTTTTCATTTCAGCTCTAGTATCCTCAAATATTTGATTATGATATTTGATTTTACCTTCATGCTGAGCTTTATTCAACAGGATTTTGCTTTGTTCGTGCTTTAATTTAACTTCCAAAGTCTGTTTTTCTGTTTGTAAGGTTTTATATTTTAGTTGTAATGTTGGCATCTCATTTTTATCTTTTCTACATTTTCATAAGCCTAGAATATCATCGTAACATTGTTTAACAGCTGTTAATATAATGCTGAAGACTTCATTGTGACTGTGTTCTGTTTTAGCATGAGTGTGAACTAAATTTGATTCGACCCTTTGAAAATCATCTTTTTGAGGTTGATCTTCCTGTACTAGTATTGTTTTAACCCAGTATGGGAGTCAGATAATACACAAGGAACCTTGTTATGGCACAATTCATTAATGTGGGTGTTGTTATTGTCATCATGACAATCATGTGAAATACTGATAGGACTGGTTTGTGATATGTTTTCAAGAACTTTATCAAGAATGTCTTTCAGAATTGGAAAATGAACATCCACAAACTCAGAATAATGACTGTCTTTGACTCTTATTGTTCATGTTGTAACGAATAATGGTCTATGTCCAATAGAAATATAGGGATACATTTCTAAAACAACATTATTGTAGAAAATTGTTCTATCTTCAGAAAAGCGGATGCTTTATTTATATATATAATGCACGAGGGTCTGGATGAGGGGTCCCTCATTTCTTTATTCTATACCATTCATCTCTATTCTTTATATTATTTGCCCCCCATCATTCTCGATTCTCTATTATTTTGCCTATTTTTTTTTTTTTTAATTTATTTTGTCCTTTATTCTGCACTTCTTGCCCATTATTCTCTAATCTTAAAACCCCATCCAGAGCCTCATATATATCATACATCCTGTAACATTACCATTTAAGTAATTATTTTCGTTTCTTGCATTCTTTTTTAACCTTATATTTTAACAAATACTAATCGGAAAGGCAAAAAGGTATTCTACGTGTTTTATTATTTTTTTTTTTGTACTTTTTGGTTTATCAGCTCTTCATGTTTATATAATTAGGTTGGGATTTTCAAATATTTTGGCCTCGAGCATCACTGACGAGAAATCTAAGTTGTCGACGTGTGCATCTGGTGCATTAAAATTGGTACCGTTATTGAATTTTGTTATTTTGTCCGTAGCATGTGAACCCTCTAGTGTAGTACATCAAACATGTCAGTCGTGCAATGTATACTGTTATAATGCTGGTTGATTGTTGTAATTTTGTTATCTTTTATCCTGTTATAGGTTGCACTTCTATAAATACAGACAATGCAATTTCCCATAGGAACTCCTTTTACGGCTAAATCTGTGCTTTTACTATGATGTTTCGTAAAAAGTTATATCCTAGAATGGAAAGTTCATATGCACTACTATTATTTTCAAAGATCAAAACATAGGGCTGTGCGGCATATTTTCAGCATGTATATGCCTGGAACTTCTAAGAGATTAAAGTTTTGCTAAAATTATGTACTACCCCTCCCTTCATTTTGGGTCTTCCTCAGAATTCAATTTAGCCGTTATCCATGTGTATTCATACTTGTTACATTTCCAAGTTAATTCTCTATGATATGAAACATAGAGATCATATATGGGAACCAGTACGTAAACAAAACAAAATATCTGTGATTATTATATATCTCCCCAAAAGAGGCGTGGTTTGTGAAACAGCTGTGTTTACAAAGGGCAACCTATACTAACATTTATTCAAATAGAAAAATCTTGAAAACACTTCCTATCACAACAATACTTCTTTATTAAAATCATAGAATAAAAGAATTCACTGCATGCACTCTAACTTTATTTTACAGTACATTTAATACCCCCACCCCTGTTTCAATTTTTAAACAATTTTTAAAGAATTTGAAAACAAAGCTTTAATTGCCAGTTTACCCTATGTGCATGTTTTCTGACATGAAATGCCTAAAGCCTGTATGAAACTACTCAGATAACAAATTGAAAGCATTTCAGAATACTATAAATGTAAAGTTTAATAGTTAATCATTCCAACATTCAAGAGTATATAAGGTATCCTATCCTGCCTATGTCTCCTGTCCAAATCTTACTGTATGCCCATTTATCTATAAAAATTCATAATTTCTGCCTCAAATGGTCAGTTTAAAACTCTTGTCACAATAATATCATCCCTAAACATATGTTTTACACAATTTGGCTAATATATGAACTAAAAGTATTAACACAAAGCCATGTTTGAAAAAGTTGTATGAATGAAGTTATCAGTTTGGTATATAAACTCATTAAAAGTTGTATAGAACTGACTGCTAAAATTTGGTTTTTGTTTGCATAACTTCAAAGTAAGGTTATTGTTTTCTATATACAAAAGACCTTTATAATGATAAAATCATTGCCTTTACAGATTAAATTATCGGTTTCATAACCAAGGGGTTGGGGATTTTTCTCTTTTTTTTTGCCACTGGGGCCTCAAATTTGCTATTTAATTCTGCTGTTTCTGTGAATATGGAATATTTACATGTAGTACATTTTTAGGATAGAAAACACTATTGTTAGTTTTATTGAGGTATTTTTGTCTCTCTAGCTTGTATTTTTTTTATGCCGCGATCACAAGAAAGCACATTAAGGGGTTACGGCTTACTTATTGGTTTTCAACACCCCAACAACAATATTCATCAATGGTCTATCAGTTTCAATGACTGCGAAGTGTAAATATAAACAACTTAAATTACATATATGTATATATTATGAATTTAATTTGTATACAGGGCTTGAGTTAAACTATGCATACTGCAAAATGTGAATATAAGCTGAGTCATCATAGTTACGGCCTAGGATTTTCTCAATCTTCATGAAATATTTATAAAACTTTTATTTGAGTTAATTTCTTTAAAATCTCTTAAGATAAACCAGATTTGGTGAAATTTTACAGGTTATCTTTTTTCATCCAATATAGACGAAGTGTTAGGTGCAATTGCTATGTAATTCGAATAATAATTCTAGACAAATCTTCCGTGACTACTCTATAATAATTTTACACGTACATGATGATCAATAAATATTTGTTCAAACTTGTGTTATTGTATTGCTGGACTTGTCATTCACATCTTTCCGATTATTCTCTATTAACGTCTAAATATCTGCTTATCAATAAGTAGGAATATATTAGATAACATATTTATGATTGAAGGATGTTTTTCTAATTTGAACACCAACTCTTAAAATATATATATGAATAATATCCTGAGGTACATGTAGTTTTGTCCTACTTTTAACTGTAACACCTATGGTTTAAAAGTAGGAAAAAACGTATGTTATTTATTCAAAATATACTCAATAACAAAAGAAACGCACAATCTCCATAAATTTCTTAGGAGTAGAAATTTCTATAGCAGATACTTGTTTTTGTATTTTGATTAAAATGAGTCAAACTTTCAAACAAAATTTTTTAAACAAAGTCATTAACACAAGGTTTGGTGAAAATGAGTATTTTTTTTTAATTTTTGACATCTCATAAAACCATATTTTTAACAAAACAAAAAAAAGACTTCTGATTTTTGACTTTTGTGGTCGAAATTTTCATTTTCACATTTAAAATAAAAATTTCTCTTTAAATTCTGCATAATATAACTGCGAGGTTATGCTTAAAATATACTAAATTGCTTCACACTTTTAACAAAAACAAGTAATGGTGAAACTACTTTATTTGGTGAGATGTGGTGCTTTCTTTATTATGTTGTTTAGTATAGTGTTCCTCGGTACAATGTGAATATATTTATCATACACATTATGTGTAACATCCTGTAACATTACAGTGTAAGTATTGTTATCATTTTTTTTTTTTTTGCATTTTATTTTAACCTATTATTATTTTAGAAAATGCTAATCACAAAGACAAAAACGTTTCTCACAAATGCATATCATTATGATTTCTAGAATTATAAATCAAACATTACCGGTATCAATATGACAGTGTTATACGGTATAATATAAAATAGGGGATGTGGTATGATTGCCAATGAGACAACTAGCTATCAGAGTTCAAATGACGTGAATTTAAGCAATAATCGGTCACCGTATGGCCTTCAACAATGATTCAAATCGATTTAGTATAGTCAGTTATAAAAGACCCCGACATGACAAAATGTAAAACAATTAAGGCTCATGTATTAAGATGGGCCCACTCAAAATATGGTAGGGTTAAAATGTTTGTGAGAGGTCAGCTGCTATACCGATTATAATTTTTTTGTGAACTTGTAATTTTGTTATCTATTATCCGGTAACATACGGTTTTGTCATGTTTGAGTCTTTCACACTAACTGCTAGGTATATAGCTTTTAAATTGTTTGGCGGGAATGCATAGAATGAGCGGTTTGTCACAAAGTCTCACTTCATTCGAAGTTTGTCTGCTTCCAAATAGTTTTTACTCCCATGTTTTTGTCTCTCTGTTTTATGTTAGGACTTATGACATATATACTGTAAATCGGTAAACTTTCTTTATAATTAAGTTTTATGTATTTTTTATCAAGAGAAGTAGGTTTGGAACATTGAAATAAGTCTTGCTGGAGATGTAAACCTTCCATGCCATAACATATGTACGTAGAATTACAAATGGGATTTCTATATTTTGAATGCAATCGTCTTTAGCTTTTTAAGTAGTGTTTTGTAGATTTTTGTCTATCATTTCGTCGGTTTTCGTTTTCGACTAACGAGTGTTGGTTCTCCCTTCCTCCCTCTGGTATCTGCCGCCTCTTTTTAACGTCAAACACATACAATTTATGAAACTGCCTAGCACACAGACTAAAACATAAATAATACTCTATTATTCTATTTTCAATGCTACATTTTACTTAAATTACTTGCTACAAAAAAAAAAGGAAGTGAATTGATTTATAACACAAGTATCTCTCTACACGCACTTGACTCCGGTATTTTTCAATTATATCTGACAAGAAGTACTTATACTCTTAACATTCCGTATTATCTGGGATACTTTGGAAGTACAACCATAATATCATAAGGTAATTGTTAAAATATGTGAATCGATGATAATTTTTTCATTTCTTTCGCTCCAATGTTTTTGGTTCTTTGCATTCCTGACGAAGGTCAACTCAGAAGAGTGCATCGAGTTCGACCATAACAATACGCTTCATTTTGCTCATGTTTATATTTAAATTTAAAAAAATATTTACAATGCAGATGAAATACAAATATTTATACAAAATCTATAATAGTGCAGATTGATATTAAAACGAATTTTTGTTCTTCAGGTTAGTTTGGTTGTTTCTTATAAACGCAATTATCACAGTATCTATTTTGACGATTTTATGATTTGCTGTATTTTTTAGCGTTGAAAAATTGTTTGAAAATTAAACTTTACGGTGATGTTGTTTATAAAGCACGAAACTGTTAAACGATCCATGTTCACTCTTAGACTCTCTGAATAAACTTATTCTTTGTTTGGGTTATCAATATTTATCATCGTAGTTTATGCAAATGTCACATTGAACATGTTTAATGACTATTATATTATATGGGGAGAAATAATGACACAGTGAACTAATTGATAGCAATACACATAATTTAGTATTACTTGGTCTAACAATCAACCTCCCAAATGCGAAAGTTGATTATTAATAGATTAATAAGTAATAGTTTGGTCTAATAAATTAAATGTAAGTAATAGATTGATCTAATAAATTAAATGTAAGTAATAGTGTGGTCTAACAAATTAAATGTAAGTAATAGAATGATTTAATAAATTAAATGTAAGTAATAGTTTGGTCTAATAAATTAAATGTAAGTAATAGTTTGGTCTAATAATGTATCATAATAAGAAATAATTATATTTTGAAAACAAATTATTAATGTACAGAATAAAACAAAGGCCAAGCATCTATTTTGTGTTTGAAATACCTTGAAATGATGTAAAACTTTAGTAAATGCTGAATCTAAATCATAATAACCATAATGTGAAATTCTGTAATCTTATATTTTTCATATATTATATAATAATCCTACAGGTATATGTTTTTTTTCAAGACATATTTTTTAAGATACCGATTTGTTTTATCTTTCTTTTCCTCATATGCAAAACCAGTCCACAGAAGACTGCATAAGGGAGGCATATTTTACAACAACAACAAAATATCATACAATACATAAGAAGGCAGTAAACTACAATGCAGTGTGATCATGATATTATAATTAGCAACATAATAAATTTTACATTTGTTAAACTAAAATCATATTTTTCTACCTTTTGAATACAATAACGGAGTGCTATAAATTCTGAATATTACCTACATTCGGGTACATGCGCTCGTGAAAGTTGGCAAAAAAATACTGAGAGACGATTCGTCAATTTTTACTTGTTTAACGACCAGTAGCAAATGTTTGATGCATATTAATGATAAGAATTTATATAGAAATATATAAACAAATGCAAAAAGCATAATAATAAACATGAAAAATAGAAAAAAAAGCATTATATATGAAAAAAGATCACAAATGCATGGAAAAAAGAAATAAGAATAGGAACAAAACTAAAATGACACAACGAAAGATGAAAAAAACACTGAAAATGAACTAAATTAAACAAAACACCAAAGAAATGAAAAAAAAAACAAATAAAAAAAAATCGAAAAACCGCAAAATCATTATAATTTTATCATCAAGTCCTCTTCATTTTGAGCAATGAAGTATTGTTAGTTAATTCAATCCAATATTTAATTAAAAAGAACAGATGAAATTGGAATTAGGAATAATATAAATGATATCAATTTTTCTGCATCAGATCGATGCGCCTTTCGACAATAAATATCTCTTCAGAAAACTGACTGTTTGACCAATATAAAACTAAGGAGAGGTGGTATGATTGCTAATGAGAAAATTATCCATAAAAATCTAAATGACGCGGATGTAACCAACTATATTGCATCCTACTGCTTTCAACAATGATCAAAGTCCAAACCGTACAGTCAGCTATAAAAGGCCTCCAGCTGACAAAATGTGAATCCATTCAAACTAAAAAAAAAAGAAAAAAAAAAAAAAAAAAAAAAACAGCCGCCTGATTTATGACAATGCAATTAGCGAAAGCTAAATATGACAGGCAGCAACCAAAAATAACCACTGAATAATAGGCACTTTATTTGTGACAGGCACATACAGAATGTGGCGGTGTTAAACTTGTGTGTGAGAACTCAACCCTCCCCTTACCTGTCACTCAAAAACAAGAAGCTGTGGTATGATTGCCAATCAAAAATTTATCCATCAGCGACAAAATGACGTAGAAGTTAACAACTATAGGCCATCGTACGGCCTTCAACAATGAACAAAACCCATACAAAATAGTAAGCTTTCTTTTAAAGTACCAGAGATGGCAAATATAAAACAATTAAAACGAGAAAACTAACGGTCTGATTTATGTACAAAACAATAAACTAAAAACAAATATGACAGTCTACATAAGTAAATCCTTTTTAGGAAGGATAATATGATAAGTACCATATCATACTATCCTAATGTACCAGTTTTTACGTGAACATAAAATGTTTAAGAATTGACCGACTTATTTTCATCGTTAACATGTTTATTAATCATTGCATTGTCAGATCAAATCATACAGATAATCACTATATGATACATCTGATAAGGAAACTGTATACTTTTCTGTTTGTATATATTCAAGAGGGTAGTAAAAAGGGGGGGGGGGGGTCATTTTCTCTATTCTTTATTTTTGCTGGTTTATTTTTCACAATTTTATATTTTTGGCCCATTTTTCTCTATTTCTTATTTTTTTGTCCATTATTCGGTATTCTGTCAACCCGTTCCCGACACTAATACAATGTCATGATAATGTGTGATATGAGAATAAATGACAATTTAAATGTTTTGAGGCATCTTTTTAGGAGAAGATTTATATAAACATGATAAAATAACTGCAGAAGCATCATGCACGTAAACTTGTGACATATAGTTATTATAGATACATCTCGTATTTATTTGATTTCGTAAGGGATTACGTTGTTTTAAGTTGTCTCAGTTGAGTTGCATTCTTTTTATATAAAAGATTACTTTTATCATGTTGTCGCTTCGATAATGTATTACATGTAAAATTTTAAGACAATGTGAGTCGTTTTGATTTTTTCATACTAGCACTATGAGTACGTAATTGAAGATATTTTGTCAAATACATGTAGCGATTAGAGAATTTCTTCTACTTAACAAATTTCCCATCGGTGCTGAAACATATTGAAAAACAAAAAACAGATTAAGTAACCAATCATCTTTCAAATCATATACCTTCGAATTCCGTTTAAGAATTGATTACAGGGAATATCATATTTGATAAATATAGATTTTACTACTGTATCGAGTGTGGTACGATAGTTTTCCATTCGAGACACTTATTTTTTTCTAAATTAAAAACGTAAGACTTGCAGAGAGTTTTAAAATCCTATGTCCAGCTATCGGTACGGCAAAAACAATCGGATCCTCCGATTGGAATTAAAAGAATTGTTTTGAGTATCGTGTACGTCAACTACCCTTGGCTGTTTTCGTCCTGAACGTGCATGTAATATTTGCCCCTGAACATTAAGCAACCAACAATCAATCATCTTGGCCGATTTGACGTGTTGTTTTCATTTTTTACACACTTTTAACACTGGCTGTTTCCCTTTTGTCAATTGTTGATTGGTTCTATACCGGACAAAATCGGCTGCTGTCAATACAAAGCATGATAAGTTGAAAGTGATATATTGGCGTTTTAAACAATTTTTAATCAAAGATAACATTGGTATCAAAAGTGTTTTGCTTAACAACAGATTTCATGTGAATGAAAAGATTTGAAAGACTTCAAGATTACACACATTACACACATTACGCATGTTCTGCACAGGTACAATTTAGGTATTTCCGCTAGCTGTACATTGGCAATGTAAATGTATGCCTGACCAAAGGGAGACAACTGAAAAAAATGGATCTCTAATCAAATGGTCACGGAATTGTCAAATAGACTATTAGAGAAGTTTAGCTTCGGTATTCAACACACAGGTGTGTCAAACTAAGCTAGGCAACCGGTATTAGAAAGATAAGTAAGATAAAATTGAGAATGGAAATGAGGAATGTGTAAAAGAGACAACAACCCGACCATAGAACAGACAACAGCAGAAGGTCACCAACAGGTCTTCAATGCAGCGAGAAATTCCCGCACCCGGAGATGTCCTTCAGCTGGCCCCTAAACAAATATATATACTAGTTCAGTGATAATGAACGCCATACTAAACTCCAAATTGTACACAAGAAACTAAAATTAAAAATAATACAAGACTAACAAAGGCTAGAGGCTCCTGACTTGGGACAGGCGCAAAAATGCGGCCGGGTTAAACATGTTTATGAGATCTCAAGACCCATTTCGACTATTGTTAACAGGCATGCCGTTGGCTATCAAAAAATAACAGCAACTTGCGTCACCATTTTCGTTTCACGAGCTGGTTCCCTATAGATAAATGAGTTGACGAAATTAAATTTGTAAATATCTTTTCACAAAATTGCATGACAATAAGAAAAAGACAATAAATGTCAACCAGCAATATGACTTATTGCAATTGTTTCGTAATTTAGTGACCATTTTTTTTTATTAATGTGTACTTAATTTTACAGTTTTCAGTTACGTTAACATTTTGTAAATGATTTATTATAGCAGTTCAGAATCAAGAGTCTCACCGCTCTACCGGTTAAAAGAAAATTCCTCTCAATTTCAAGTCATTATGTTAACAAAAGAAAAGCGTTAAAAACGAAGTCTGTTAAGAAAGGTTCTGTATCAATGTCCTTTAAGATTTGGCGATAATGGCACGTCTCAAACTCCGAAACAGTGGTGACGTTGATATCATTCAATCCTCATGTATTTGATTAACATAAACAACTATTAAAGAAGATTTGATTATTTGCTATGTCAATACAGAAATGTATGGTTACCGGATAAGGCCATTTTGCGTTTTCGCCCTGTGGCATATTTTCGGATAACTTGAAAATATGTATTGAAATATTATGTGTATTTGGTAATTTTTTGTTTAAGGTTTAACGTGTGTAAGTGAAAATTTATCTATTTATGTGAGGCCAGATTTAGTTCTATTTAGTATAAAGATAAAGATATGTGGTAAGATTGCCAATGAGACAACTATCCACCAAAGTTCAAATGAAGTGGATGTGAGCAATTATAGGCAACCGTACGGCCTTCAACAATGAGAACAACACCCACACCATACAGTCGGCTATAAAAGGTTCCTTTTGATAATATAGCTCCTAACATTTTACATTCATGGCTTTCAAATGTTTAAAGTTAAGCGTTTCTGGTGAAAGTTCATCCAGAAAACGCTTCGAACACACAAAATTTATCAAATGTTATTTTTAGTTACTAGTAATACATGTAAAATGCAACATTGTTTTAGGTTTTAAAGTAAAAATTTAAATGATCATGTTAATTTTATTTTCAGAACAGAAATGTAGGTTGATTCCATACAGTCTTTAAAATGTGTATATCCTTGATATTCGAATACACGATAAATGGCATACAACTCACACATAGCTAACGATTCTATACCAACGATGAATGCACCTTATTCCAACGTGAGTGTTAATAGTATCTTTGACACAGATTTGAGAAATGAATCCAGAAAGAAGATGTCCTTTCCTTCTGTAAGTATAGACTTTCTTAAAAATTATGATAGTAAAAAATAAAAACTTAAAAATATGAAAATTTGTTATGATTGCCAAAGAGACAACCCTCCACCAGAGACCAAAATGACATAGAATTTAACTATAGGTCACCGTACTGCTGAACAACACTAGTGTATAGATTATTGGACATTGACAGAAATACACGTAGAATCTCAAATACACGAGTAACATATAGACATGTAATCCAAATATATTTACTTCGATTATGTTGTTTAAAATTTTTACTGAATAAACTCGATACATAATACTGAGGTCGTTTTAGAAACGATAAACTAATTGCCTGATTTGTTTAAAAACCACGTGGTCAACTAAGGTACACATTCTTTATGTGATGTAGTTTTTGTGCGAATAAGCCAATATCGGCACTCTCAAAGTATTAATTATCAAATCCATGGGACTTATACTATCAGTTTCTATTTTAAAATTGAAACTTATACAAACATTAAAGATCGTTTAAGGAATTGCTTAACCGTTATGTGATATATGCAGTGCATATTAATGATACCATTTATCGCTTATGAGAAAAGAACGTCATTTTAAGTTAATGGTATCTGACTTTTCGATTTTTAGTCACTACCTGATCATTAATAGATTAGAAAAAAAACCGCTAAATATGATTTCTATCGATTGGTACTTGTCTTTTGTCTTTTTGTTGTTTTTGTGCTAAAGCTAAATATCAATCGGATGAGTCGAGCTTTTTTCCATTGACTTTTACAATTTGTTCTTATAATGTGCTGTTACATCACTGTTAAAGGATAGACGGGGGTTAAAGTTGAGGCTCACAAACAGGTTTAACCCTGCTACTTTCTTTATATGCCTGTTCCTAGCAAGGAGCCTTTAAACTAGGCTATTACATATTAAAGCGACAGTAGTTTTCCGATGTTAAAATCTCGTAAATCGATTAGGAAGTGACAAATCAGTGTAACAAACAAAAACTGAGATAATCGCATTAACTCAAAAAGGAGCAAGACCGGATGAGTCGACAGGATAAGCATATCCTGCTCTGCATGCATCACCCGCCGTGCTCAATTAAAATGTCACAATTAGGAATAGGACACAATCGGTTAAATAACAGATCAGATTACTATATTGGTATCTTAAGATCTGAGACCGCGAAAACATGTCACTAGTTATTTGAGACACCGACACATCGTATCGGTCAACCAAATCGTGATTGTGACCGTACAACTGATGTAGCGTCGATTTCAGTCATTCAATCTCACAACTCTGTTGGAGCAGCTTTTGCGTTAGGATCACATCCCTGTTAATGAAGTCCGTATAGTGTGAACAAGCACGAGCGTATCCTATTAACTGAGATATGTAAACGACATACGATGGAGCAAAGGGTATGTTACTGCTGAGAAATGGGAAGTTGACAATAGGAAAGTTGAAATCATCACGTTTGTCATAGATTTTAGTTTGAAGTCGTCTTTCTGTGTCAATATCGTTCTATACGATACGAGTTGCTTCTTGTTGAAGGCCGGGCGGTGGCATGTAGTTGTTCACATTGTAGTATTGATATAAAACAAATCATAGACATACACAATAAATAAATAGATATTATTAAAAACAGAAACCCACTTAATATGTAACATAGTTTACACAGCAAATCAGAACGAAACGGAAAATATTCAAAACGTATCTTCAGTATAATTTCTGTTATTCCTAGATTTTGTTTTAGTTTGCTTGATTGCTTCAGACGTGTTGATTAAAATGTAAATTGTCAAACGACAAATGGATGAAGGGACGGAAAGGTACACGACGGACAGAAAGAGATGATAATGTCTCAAATAATGTGTACAAAAATGTAGTCCTAACGGTCAGCTGTGCTAAAAGAAATTTAATCAACTACAAATGATATAGTTATAACGAGGTTAATCGAAAGAGCACAATTAAAAGGAATATTTTCTTTTTAATAGACTATATGGTAGCATCGTATACAAAGTAGAAAAATGTAGCTGTCAACATAGAACACTTGACTCTCAAAAGAAACTCTGCATATCTAAGTTTTCGGAAGGTTTTTTTTAAACAATCCAGATTTAGTTTCTATCATTATTTACATGATAGATATGTCACACACTAGAAGAGAAACTTAGGTTGTTATAGCACAAAATCAAAACAGTAACAAAAATTACTAGATGCCGATGTTTTTTATTTGTATCTTCTACGTGGATTGGTGAAATTAGGAGATTGTTTAAGTACATCTGTTCTATTGCCTCTATCGTTTAGTATATTATGTGCGTTTACCATTCTGGACAATAATCAAGTAAACCATTAATTCATTAACAAGGGGAAAATGATGGTTAAAAATGAAATTGATTGAATGACTCAACTTTTATTCTAATAAATTACAGCTAAATGGCATATTTAGAGGAACAATTATGAACAATTACATATATTGATATCTAAACATGCACTTATAGATCTAGAATGTCGGTTTAAAAAGAGGCGAAAGATAACAAAGGAATATTCAATCTCATCAGTAAAAAACAAACTGTCAATGTCATAGCAAAAAATGAAAACGATTAAAAGACAACCCTTATGCAAAATACAACTTAGAAAACTCAAAACTGAGCAACACGAACCCCACCATAAATCCGCGCTAGTAAATGAAATTTCGTCTTTTAGATCTTAACATCATCTGAACAGTCAGAAAAATAAATAATTATGTCATATTCAGTCTTTCAGTCAATTGTCAGACTTATCCACTGCGGTGAATTCAGTATTGTTCAGTAGCTTTTCAGACAATTCAGTATGATTTTGATGTGTACAGGTAAATAAAAGCTACTGTTCACTCTGAACATATCCTAGACGGATCTTAACTGACTAGAAGCGATTGGTCTGAACCGTACAGTGGAAAGTCTGAAAATTGACTGAAAATCTGAAAATTACTCAACAATCTATTGATCCGTCTTTAAAGAGCTGTTCAGATTAAAACGACCGTTTCAGATCAAAATCGGTTTACTACTGCGGTATTGGTCTCATGTGTTCCGAAATGTTTGAAATAGAAACAACACAGACATTGAAATGTTACAAATCACATAGAACAACACTTAAAAGAAAAGCAAGGACAACACGTACCCCTTTAAACAAAACTAAGGGTGCTCTCAGGTGCTCCAGAAGAATATAAGGAGATTCTGCACCACATGTGGCACCCGTCGTGTTTCTTATGTAAGTACAAACCCGATGATAAGTCTAATTTAGTAGGTCACATTCGAAGAAAAGATGACAGGAATTATTGTTACGACAATTGGAAAAAATATTTCGTCATCTGTGAAACAGATATTCCATGAAGGTAAACCAACTCTTGATGGAGTCCGTAAAATGTTTCAACTTCAACACTTTGAACTTTCGGTTTAAATGCTTTCTTGAAAGCAGCAACCCTCTATCAAGGAAATCATGACAGGAAATGCTAGCTCCTAGAACATAATAGCATATTACATTGATCGAAACTATCTGATTAGACTTGTTTTCCATCATATAAATATCTTCCTCTTTGTTTCAATGTTTCATTTTATGTAAATATTTATATTTTTGTATACTCGTCTTCAGACAATCAATGAAGTAACAAAATGGCTAGCAGTGGGAATTTTGGTCGGAATTTTGGTGTTTAACTCAACTATACTGATATTACTTCTCCGCAAGAAACAGAACAGTAGGATGGCTTTCTTCGTACAAAATTTGGCAATAGCAGGTAACACAATTAGGATTTATCAGTATAAAAAAATAACACTTAGTAAATTGTATGCGTCTGAAGCACTTTTCTTAATTTACCCTCATCAACCCAAATATTGGAAAACCTATTGAAGGATGTATATCTACCGAAACACACGAAGAGCTATATGACCAAAAGGGACATAAAAATCATAGCAAAACCATCTGAGGTCAACTTTGTCTGAGGGAACTTATTCCAATTTAAAAACGACCAATTTGAGAATGGTATAACATAAAAAAAGTACTATAGCGGTATAAATGAACTATTTTTAATATACCAATGAAATGCATAACTTAACATGTATTGCTATACAGTTACAAACACGAATGGTTCTAATTTCTGTTGAAATTTCTATTTTGGTATTGCATAAGGTCATGTTCACTGCTCATGACGTTTCTATACTGAATCTTTTTGAGGTGTACAGCTTGATATTTTGGCCTGGGATAACATTTATTAGTTGAACTTGATATTTGATTTAGCTTTCAGTAACTGTGAGTACTCTTATATGTTTTCTATTTGATATGTTTGTTGTTCCTATTAACGATCTGATGATTCCAATGTTTTCCAACTGAATTTTACAATGTTTTACAATGTCGTGTTGCTATACCACTGTCACAGGCAGGCTAGGGGTGAGATGCGAGTTTAAAACACACGTTTAACACCGCTACTTTATTTATGTTCCTGTTCCAAGCCCGTTATCCAGAGGTTGTAGTTGCTTGCTGTCTGCTATAATGTGTAAACCAACTAGTTTTCACGAGCGATTTATTTTCGCAACTTTCACAAATATTAATCGTCGCGAATGTTTAAACCTTAGATCTTCTCTTTTTCTAAAATAACAAGTAAATTTGAAAATCGCGAAAAAAGATCGCCGCGAAGTGGCCTAGAAAGTTCTAAACGCGAAATAAAGCATCCGTGAAAATAAGTTGGTTTACGGTATTTGTATGTGTATGTTATCATACATCATGTACATGTACACCAGGCCGTTCTTTAGTCTTTTGAACTATGTCATATTATGTCTTCCTGGGTTTTTATAACTTACTATACGGTATGATTTTGCTTATAAAAGAAGGCTGTATGGTGACAAGTATCTATTCAAATCTTTGTCTTTTTGTCTTTAATGTATACTTGTCTTCTGGTCAGACAATCCCTTTTTTAATACAGAAATACAAATTGTGAATTTGACACAATTTCTTCATTAGACTGTTATGAGACTACGAAGAAAAAATGATGAGTCCAAAAAGTAAATTTGTTTGTTTTTGAAGTGAAACTTAAGTCCTGCATCGATCGAGAAAGTGTAGCAAATGTACTGACTGCCTAATTATGTTATAGTATCTTAGGGTCAATATGTCCCAAAGATATTAGTTCCAGGAAACAGGCGAATGTAATAAAACATTTAAACACTTTTACGAGCACCTTGTACCGCCTGAGATTAGACAGGAGCGTTATTGTATTTGTTTTATATTTTAAGCATTTGCTGTTCGCATGAAAACGTCCTTTCCGTACAATGTCTCATTAATAAAGGTTTGTCTCATTCATTAATTTTCCCATGATATTGAGTGTGCAACGCAAAGGACTTTGTTAATTTGTGTATATCGCTCTTGAATCCAATGACTTCAATTACTTTGTCATATAAATAGAATTAAAAAACTCAAATCTGTTTAATAAAGTTATTTTTTATAGAGGGGGGTGGTTTCCATATATAAGATCAAATGAAAGATGCAACCATAAATTAACACACCATTGATACCAAAACAGTTGGTAAACTTCAAAGTCTGCTGTTGATACTTCTTTTTTTAAGTACATATATGTAAGTAAATGTAACTATGACAACGATTTTTGCGAGTACGATACTTGTTTCTGAAATACCTTTCATCAGTTTAAAAATAATGATTGCCAATGCGTATCTTATCCATCAGATGATGTAAATATACACACCTATTGGTCACCGTACGCTTTTAACAATAAGCAAAACCCATACCGTATGGTCAGCTATAAAAGGCCTCGACATGACATGATGTGAAACAATTCAAACGAGTAAATCAACGCCTGATTAATACCAAATTTCAGTGTGTTTAGAACACTCTGATTTTTAATTCCTGAGAAACATGCGACCAAAATAACATTAATGATAGGGATAATAATTATGATAATTTTTTTTTCTGTTTTGTAGTCATTTCAGTAATCAATTAAGTTTTTTCCTGTTTCAGATTTTTGTGTTGGTTTAATTTATCTTTTACCCGAGGTTATTGTATTTAGATTTCATATCGGTTGGGATAGATACGCTTGCTCTATATTATATGGAGTGAAAATGTTTCCGATTTATGTATCTACGTTTGCTATCATTACCTTGACACTGGATCGTTTGTATGTTATTTTAAAACCTATATCATCCTCTGGCAAAGGTATGAAATACAGAGTATCATTGATAATAACAACCTGGATTCTGGCAATATTACTTTCTATACCATATATGGCATGTGTAAGATTCAATAACGGAAAATGTGGACACGATTTTGGCAATTTTACCAAGGTAAAGATTGTACTTTTTATGCTATGGACCCATTATTTATTCCAAAATAATGTTTTCCTTTTTTACTATGTACTCTGACATCCTGGTTCATGATATGTGCTTATATATGGAAGAATTTAAAAATGGGACAATAAAAAACTTTAAGTCGAATAAAGAGGACGTAAAGGAAAAAACAGTCGACGAAACACAACATAGAAAACAATAGGGTGAGAAAACGAGGCCCGAATGACAAAACACAGAATATGATTCGTGAGAAATACATTCCGCTTTGATGGAGTCGTTTCGTTTAATAATTCAAAGTTTGGCAACTATGTTAGTGTAATCTATAAAATTTATCTTGAAATAAAGTATACAACAGAGTCTGTTTGAAATCTTCACTTCATCTACGAATTAACAATGAGGGTTGGTCGAGAATTAAACTTAACGATTAAAAAGACAAACACCAATTGTCCCATAGTAACATTGTAGGAGTGAAAAGCAAAAAAGGACAGTACAGTAAAAAAAGCGATAGGTAAAGAAAATTAAACCCAAAATACTGCAGAGTAAACAAAAGATTGAGCAGCAAACACCCCATAAAAATGGGATGTGCCTAGTGCTCTGTCTAAAGTAAAAATATTTCTAAAATGCCATCATGAACAAAGAAACAAGACATTTCCTTCACATTTTTCACAGCAACTAAAAGTCATTCCTTTTTGGTATATGTCAATGTATAATCAGTGAACGATAACTTACAGAACATTCTGGATACTTTGTTGTTTCTAGGTTATGCTTATGTTTGATATCAGCCTCATTCTGATTTTTCCTGTACTTATCATTGGAGCGTGCTATATATGTATTGTTGTGACAATATGTCGTCGCGAGAGAAATAGACTTTTAAATGAGAATACTAGAAGAAGCATAAGTAAGTAATATCTTAATAGAAAATAAATAAAAATATATATAATTGAATATGGTATGTACACATATTAAACCAACCTTAGGTTAAAAAATATAATATAACGAAAACACTGGACCGTATAATACTTCGATAAAACGTGTTAACTGCATACCTCAATTATATTGAAATAACATATAATCATGGTGACCTGCAATAAAAAATAAGGAGGTGAGCTATGATTGCAAATAAGATAACTATCCACCAGAGACCAAATGACGAAGATGTTAGCAACCTCAGATCACCGTAGGGCATTTAACGATAAGCAAAACCCATATCGCAAGGTTGTGCAGAGAGCCTCGTCATAATTTTTTTTATTAATAAATTCTTTACTAATACAATTCTTTTTGTCAGCGACAATTTCCAATAGACTATGACTCTTAAAATCTTGAGGAGTACCACATAAGTGAGGTATCCAATGACTCAAAACATGACACATTCACTATTCTAGTTAAAGGGTAAAAAAGATCATTTTCCTTTAGTAATCCTTAAAATACAAGATATTCAGTTTTCTTTCAAACTGAAACTTATTGTGTTTGAAACTTATTGTCGTGTTTATTTTTTTCCTAATTTACAATGGAAACAAACTATTTTGTCTCGTTTCTTCTAAAATAAAAACATCAAAATCTAACAATTTATCAAGTAAAGCATGTCCCCGAAAAGATGAATGGTCGGTTCCTTAAGGATAAATGAAATATGACTTATTTTGTTATACATTAAAACTTTTACTTCTTATAATGTCTAAACTTATTGTTTAAAAACTTAATTGTTATACTCTCTGTAGATTCAACACATAAAAATGATGGTCAGAAAAAAAGTACAAGAAAACCTCTAATGGCTCAGGCGAAAATAAGGACAATTAAATTACTTCTGATCATCGTAACTGGTATGTATATAGATACCTAAATAAGTGGAAACAGTAGTTTAACGATGTTAAGATCCATACATCTATTAATAAGATATAAATCATGGTAAAAGGCAGAGGGAATCGCATTAACTCCAAATTGAGCAAGACCGTTTGCGTAGACAGGGTACGCGTCTGAGGTGATATCTGCATAATCAATTAGAAGCAAAACCAAGATACATAATACGTAATAAGAACTAGGAAAACGATGTTTCAAAAAGATTCACGAAAAAATCGTGAATCAAAAGACTATACACATCCAAACCAACAAAACCAAACCAGAAAAAAGTAATGTACAAACATGTCAAATCCAAAGGAAAATAAAGAAGAAAACACAACATTTCAGAAAAAAATACGAATGATAGCATTCTATCGATCTCAAATTTTATCTTAGTTTACAGTTATGAAAGGTGTTAAATAAAACTCTTTTTAAAACCAATTGCAAAGACATTTGTAGATGTTAAAAATACAATTTTGTAGTTGACCTATGACGTCAATGCATTAACGACGAGTGTACCGTTGTTAAATGTGATACCATCTTTTGAGTTTTACATTTTACTCATTTTTAAAATACACGTATTTATGCTTTCTTTTACAGCATACATTGTTTGCTGGACACCGGTGTGCGTTGGTACATCGTTGTTGATGTGGAAATATATTGAATTTGGAGTTATTTTTCAACTTTTGTACGTCTTGGCGCCATTGAATAGCCTCGTGAATCCTCTTGTTTTCTTGTTATTCCATAGGAAAATTTTCAAAAGAAAAGAGTTTGGAACATATAGATTTAACCCGTCTGTAACCTTAAAAACGTCAGGAAAGCAGGCATCAACACGCTGTTAGCCGTTCCGTGATTTTTATGTTCGTCTCTACATATCTTGTGTGTTTAACTTAAAATCTGAGAATACATAATTGCAAAATACAATACACACTACCATGACTACTGTACAGTATATATAATGATTCTACATGTATAGTTTTTGTTGTCGATAAAGAAAGAGAAGAAACCCCTGGTTAATAGTTAATTTCCTAGAAAGTCCGTTATTTACCGTCCAATCTCATTTTTTACACACCTGTCTCGTTATAACGGCAGAAATTTATGCAGTGTGGGAACTAACACCAAGTCGTCTACATGATATATATACTAGGCCTCACTGTGACTTTGAGATGAAGAACACCAAACGCACTGTTCCTTTGCTTTTGTGTGTTTTTTGTTGTTGTTTTATTTGCTGTGCATGTACTGATTTTGTGTCATGGATGGATACTCCATATCTTTTTTTTTCTACTATTCAAATCTATGGGTAGTGTTACCTTACCAAACATTTTCTTCATGGTGATGGAGTCAAAATGGAAAAGCGTAGTTGAAAATTTAGGTGGAGGTAAATTACGATCATTTCTCAACATGGAATCGACAACAGTCCTTGATTTCTACTATTTATTGCATAATATGTAGTGATGTCAACCATGTCAACGGTTAACCGTTGAACCGGGTAACCGTCGGAAGGACCGAATAACGGATACCAAAACCGAGATCTTTTTTTCAGTTTTAATAGATTTGATATATAAATGTGTATTGGAATCATTAATAAATTTTGCTCAATTTTAAAATGACTGTTGTGGTACTCTTTTTGACAAATCAATTGTCCAGTATATTGATTGCTATTGCATGTATTGTTTAGCTTGAAAATATTACAATTTTACAAAATTAATTAGCACAAAGACAACTTGTCTATTAGCTCGGGGCAGGATTGAAAGTAAAAATAATTAGCATACATGTATTTTGAGCTGTTGTAAGATAATCATTTTTCGATCTACATCATTATTTCATTTTTTATTTAAAACATTGCGTAGACCTACATGTAAATATTCCACCTCCTTCGTCCAGTGCTTCGTCATACTTTTAACGAAATGCAGACTAAATAATAGTGAAATGTAAATCATATGAATAAAATAAAAAAGTATACTGGATGGTACGAGTAACACGCTTAATCATCTCAACTCTCTACAGAATTTTCTGAGACACCAGTGGAAATGAAACTATGAACGATTTCAGACCTTGTTAATTCGACGATATCAAGAAGATTTGTAGATCCTAAATCTGAAGTTGTTACAAAAACCGTAGTAGATGTGGTATTATTGGATAATCAAAACTAAAACTTCACCAGAAATACTCAAAGCCAAGCCGTATATTGACTACGGATATATTTCAACTTATCGTATTATAAAACAGTGCATGTGTAGAGTACTGTATGAGAGGCCTTTACACATCAACTTAACTACCGGTTAATTGGTTAATCGGTCGAAACATTATCCGAGTAACCGGTTAGGAAAAACTGTTCAATTTGACAACACTAATAATATATAACTTGTTTTGTCACTGTTTGTAATATAATAAAGTTGAATTGAAACTGAACTTCCAACATACTTGACGCTGATTTCATTGTAGGTTTTTAATGAGTTTTTGTTGATTTGTAGTTTCTTATTACTTCATTTGAATTTTCTAACACATTTATACTGGCTTAGATCTGTTTTGAAGTGACGACCTGTTAGTTGTTGTGTTACTCTGTTAAACCGTATTACCAAATGAACACTCATATTTCAGTAAGTCAGTGTTTGTTTAGTAATTTTATAAATAGTAAATAATTGATATTTAATAACTTTAGCAACTTAAGTATTTTTCCCCTTTCAAAGTACATACGCTGAATATTGTATATATATATATATATATATATATATATATATAAGAACTAGATCTAAATCATTTTAAAAGGGGCTCTTGTGATGGGGTTCCATTTAGAAAAAAAAGAAGTTTCCAGCTAATTGTCTATATTCGCCACAAGGCAGCTCTCAATCCACTAGCAAAAGACAATAATATGTACATGTATAGGACAGAGTACAACGGCCAACGTCTGGTTACGAGAATTAGGTTAAGATAAACTGTATACTGCAACATGTTAACTGGAGTAAAAACATTCTGTTCGTTTATAAATTTAAAAATTAGTAAGAAACTTAGGTTTCAACTCATTCAGGGAAAATTGAACTTAGATGGATTTGGCTACTAATTTTAGGTCCTTTTTTAGTCATATAGCTCTTAAACTGTTCAAGTTCTTATACATCCTTGGCTTCCAAATATTCGGCTTTGAGCGTTCTTGATGAAGGTAAATCCAGAAATGCTCTTCTAACGCATACAATTTATTTAGTGCTGTTTTCGATGTTTTGAGAAACGATTAATCCAAACAACAACAACTGCGAACAAGTAAATAACACATTTTTCATTTTAAAAATGGAAAAATAAAAAAATAGAATGAATTTGATTTTTTTCTGAAAGGTAATAAAACAAAAATGATATAAAATTTTAAAATGCTATGTTAAATTGATGCAATGCAAATGCTATGACATTTTTATAATTAGGGGAAATTATAGTACATGAAAGGCATTATGTAACTTATCAGATTGTCGTACTTAGGATAAACACAACCAATAAAATGCGCTAACTGACAAAATTGGTGTACTTTGTTTAAAAAAACCAACACAATGCATTAACTGACCAGATTAGTGTACTTAGGACCAAAAACAAACAAAGAAATGCATTAACTGACCAGGCTGGTGTACTTAGAATACGAACAACCACTGAAATGCACTAACATGAGCAAAGTGGTGTACTTAGGACAAAAACAACAAAAGACTTGCATCAACTGATCAGATTGGTGTACTGAGGATAAAAACAATCAACGAAATGCATTAAAATATCAGATTGGTGTATTTAGGATAAAAACATCCAACGAAATGCATTAACTGATCAGATTGGTGTACTTAGGATAAATACAACCAACGAAATACATTGACTGATCAGATTGGTGTACTGAGGATAAAAACAACTACATAAATGCAATAACTTATCAGATTGGTTCACTGAGGGTAAAAACAACCACCGAAACGCATTAACTGAGCAAAGCGGTGTACTGAGGATAAAAACAACCACTGACATGCATTAACTGATCAGATTGGTGTACTGAGGATTAAAACAACTAATATAAATGCATTAACTGATCTGGTTGGTGTACTGGAGATAAAAACAACTGCATAAATGCGTTATCTGATCAGATTGGTAAACTTAAGACAGCAACAATCAAAGGAATGCACCTTAAGTTATAAATTAAAATAAAACCTACAACAAGTAAGGAGGAAACAATCTATTATGTACTTTTCCTTGCAGATAACCATAAAATTAGCTTGTTAATTAAAAAAAATTCAAACTCATAAGTCGAAAACAAACTGACAAACTGATAAAAAAAACTCTTAAGAGAAAGGCGAATGATACCAAAGGAACATTTAAACGCATAAGTCGAAAACAAAAAGACAAACTGATAAAAAAAAACTCTTAAGAGAAAGGCGAAAGATACCAAAGGGACATTCAAACTCATAAGTCGAAAACAAACTGATAAAAAAACTCCTAAGAGAAAGGAGAAAGAAACCAAAGGAACATTCAAACTCATAAGTCGAAAACAAAAAGACAACCTGATAAAAAGAAAAACTCTTAAGAGAAAGGCGAAAGATACCAAAGGGACATTCAAACTCATAAGTCGAAAACAAACTGATAAAAAAAAACTCTTAAAAGAAAGGCGAAAGATTTCAAAGGGACATTATAACTCATAAGTCGAAAACAAACTGATAAAAAAAAACTCTCAAAGAGAAAAGCGGAGAGACCAAATGGACATTCAAACTAATAAGTCGAAAAAACAAACTGAACACGTCATTGCGAAAACATGAAAAACGACCATAAGACAAACAACAGTACACAACACAGACAATAGCAACTTTTCTATTGGAAGGAAGTCTTTACATACTAGATCAGCGACAGAACATTTTATGTAGTTTTTCTTTTAGTCGTCAATCAAGCCTGCAATTAAAACAGTTCTAAAAATAAAACAATGAGACTAGATTGAAATTATAATCACTTCGTCAATCACAAAGCATACCAAAGCACGATTAACGAGAATTAAGAATGAGACACTGACGTCAAATTAATTGTTAAATACGAAAATAGAAATATGTGATTTTTAATGAGACAACTATCCACCAGGGTGTACCACAGAACACAGAACGAGGATGTTAACAGCTATAGGTCACAGTACGACAATTATACATTAGCCATTTATAACAAAAATAATAAAACGCAAGACTATCAATCAATAAAGCCGACAACTGGTATGTCTTTATGTTTGTTTCGATCTATTTAAGTCTACATTATTCGAAATTTTATCTAAGAATTTAACATCGTTGACATAGTATGTTCCGAAACAAAGAATACAAATTGTTTTTTTATTTTTACCATAAATCAGAATATTGTTTTTCTCTATTGAATTAATTAAAAATTAGTCTCACCGAGGCCTTTTTTAGCATTCTATACGGTATTAGCTGTTTATATCCTCCTCATTTGATACCTAGTGGATATCTGTCTACTTGGGAATCATACCACATCTCCTTGTTGAAGAGGGTATCGTATGACTATTGTCGATGCAGTTTTCACAGCTTTGGATTAATTACTTATTCTCTTTATTTTGTTATAATGTTATGTAAGCCATTTCTGGTGATGATGGTGAATAGTTGTCTCATTGACAATCATACCACATCTCCTGCTGCTGCTGCTGCTGAAGAAGAGAAGTAGGAGGAGGAGGAGGAGGAGGAGGATTGAAGATTTTCTCACTTACATTACTACTTGTTTGCTATTGTGAATAAAAGGAGCTGTGGGGTATACGTAAATGAGACAGCAATTTAAGGTTATAAATATCCAACAACCACTTTTAATCTATTTTGTAGATTGGTTAGTATATGTTTGACTTATTTATTTCCACTCTTAACTGTTTGTACCGTTCTCCTTAATTCCGTACATTTATATAAATATTCTAAACCACGGAGTGTCACTGTCCAACACATGGATGTTTATATCTTACACCATTTTTGAAAATTGACGAGAATTTCGTCAAATCTTTAACTGGCTATCGGTACGATAGGTAACGTGGATCAAAATATATTGTACATGACTGCAAATCTATTGAATTGCAGTGGTTATAAGAAACACAGGCAACAATCTGCTTTTTGATAAACGAGAAGCCAAAACAATTGTTTTAATGTCAATCGAAAACACAGATTATATTGTATCGGTCGTAACGATATCAGGTAATAGAGTGACTGTGTTCGTACATCTCAGGGATTTGTACAGCGGATATCAAATTTTACTGGCACAACATCTATCGAACACTGTAACACTAGAATCAAATGACAATGATTCAGTGTACATACTGTTCCGTACATTGTTTTGGTGTCCGTAATTAATACTAGTACTGCTTGGTATATTTTTTTTTTTGGAGAACAAAATTTCAGAAGGTGACTTTAATATCCGGAGAAAGGAGATACATATATCAGAGCTGTATTTTTTCGATCAAAATTATCATGGACGGAAGGATGGACTCCCCAATCACTATAACCTTGAAAAACGGGTGTATAATTAATAAGCGTCTGCGTCTGATTCAAATAAATGTATAACCTATTACGACAATTCAAAATCTATATACAGAGGATCCCTTGACATGCAATTAATACTTAACACACATATTCAGTGCGACATAGTTCGTAGAGCTAATTGTCCTTTTTTGTGTGTTTATGCTATGGTAATGTTTAAAAAGAGGATTATAGAGAATGTAGTATTCATTTGTGTATAATTCATTGCAATCATATGTGATAACATTTATATCTATTTTCTAAAAATTGCTTGTTGGTGTGGTGTACTTGCCACCAACCCCAAAGTCAGCTGTGTATGAGAAATACATTCATTTGTGGGGTTCGTGTTGCTCGGTGTTGGGTTTTGTGTGCTGTTGTTTGTCTTTTCATGGGTTTTTTTTTTTTTATGGCGTTAAGAATTTTATTCAATTGGTATATTTCGATAAAATTGAGAATGGAAATGTAGTACAGAATAATCATTTTTGAAAGGAAAACAGCTTTAAAATGTACCAGTGTGTTAGGTACACCAATTAAAAATTACAGTGTGAAAATCATTTGTGCAGACATATACGCCTTTGTCCACATTTTAAGATGTCATCTACAAATAAACTTTAATATTATTTTTCAAGGAAAGGTAACTGTATACTATTCAACTAAGTGAAAATAGTATTGATTAAATGTTCAATAGTAAACTATACATTTTCGTCTTAAAAACATACATACCATTTGATGTTTTTTTTTTCGACTGAGTTTTAAGAAAAGTGTTTTCGTCTGATGTTTCGATTGTTGCTAAGTAACCGGTATGGGCTTTACATGCACACTGTAATGAGAAAAATATTTTTTAAAAACGTAA